GCTCTGCATCTCTCTCTCTCTCTCTCTCTCTCTCTCTCTCATTCAGCTCCACTCCAACAATGAACTGTTCCAATTATACACTTATTTTCACATAGCTATGAGAAGTGTTAAACATGGATGCGCATGCAGTTGCCGTACTGTATTAAAGCTTTAATCAGGATAAAACCGTATGTTAAAAGCTAACATAAGCAGTAGCATTTACAAATAGCAGCATATCTAAAAGTATGAGACAACAACAAACAAAAAACATAGGCCTACCATTAAAAGCCGTGCTTGCACAGGTTCTGCACGATCCTCTTCAATAATATCCTCTGCTTCTCAATCGGGCTCAAACTGATAAGCGATATTAACGACGTCGTTGTTTACAATACAACCGGAGCACATGCCGCTGAGGTGAGGAGGGGACGATTAGACGCGCACTACAGGCGGTTTAGTCAATCGCAACACACTAGGCTAGCTAACAAATCAGAGCCCATCGCCTATTTCTGAGGGCGGGGCTTCATAAAAGCAGGAAATGATCAGCGCATTTCTCAGGCCATGTCCACACATACACGGGTATTTTTATAAACAAGGTTTTTTCTTCAGTTTTTTAAAAAAAAATCTCCGTCCACTTGAAAACGCAAACGCATGCTATGAAGCCCTGTCAAGAGCATGCCAAACCAACAGGTGGCGATATAATCTCAACCGTAAAGCCATGTTGGCCAATCAGAAGCCTGAAAAAGTTTCCAGTAGGCGGAGATAACAGCGCAGGCTCCGACATCACAAGCCAAAAACTCCTGTTTCGCTGTCTACACGATAACACTGCAACCGGAGTTTTTGAAAATCTTCACCCTGGCAGGAGTTTTCAAAAATGTTCAGTTTCAGTGACCTGGTAGTGCGTTTGCATGTGGACAAACGGCCAAACCGCGTAGAAAAAGCAGCAGTTTTAAAAATAACCGTGTTCTTGTGGACAGGGCCTCAGAGAAGGGACAGAGCGGTGTGGAATAAAGGTAAATTATGTGAAAAATAATTTATTTTTTTTTTAAACGAAGCATTAACACATGCTAGACTGTACCCCATAAACACAATCAAGCCTAGAAAAAAACCAGTGAACCACCCCTTTAAAATATAAAAACATTATGCATTTGTAACTGCAGGTTAAAGCACTTCATGTCCCTCTGAGCTGCATTAAACGGTGTGTAAATACATCTAAATTCCACTTCAGATGCAACTTCTGCAAAGATTAATTTTGTTGATACTGGTTTAATTTGTTTGGTAACAGCCTAAATGTTTTATTATTCTAATTGACTGATTAAATGTAACAATTTGACTCAAAAGATGCACACTTTTAGAAAAACATGACTTTATTAAAGGTAAAATTGCCCATAAAAGGTATAAATCAATTTAAACTTATGAAAAGATTAATTTCTATCACTTATGTGAACTGACCACACAGAATATGAAGAATATCAAAAACTGCAGCTATCCACGGTAGTCAGATATCAGCACGATAACACACACGGCAAAATATTGTCTAATTATCGTTATCGAAAAAATAAAAAATAAAAATTGTTTTTTTCAATATCGCATACCCCTATTTAGGCAGCACAATTGTTTTCAGCATGGATAATAAAAAGAAATGTTTATTGAGCAGCAAATTATAAAGATTTCTGAAGTGAATAATAATAATAATAATATGCAAATAAAATTTTGTTGGCTGCTAAAAATTCAGCTTTGCCATATGAGAAATAAAATATATTTTAAAATATATTAAAATAGAAAAGTTATTTTAAATTGTAATATTATTTCAGTATGACTTTGTTTTTGGTCAAATAATTGGTGAGCATAAGAGGCTTCCTTCACAAACATTAAAAATCTTACAGACCCCAAACGTTGGAACATTGGTGTAGTTCCAGACCTGTGTGGAGATTAAATGAACATCAGAGATGCTGTTTTCCATGATATATGATAAACATGGGCTTTCATTCTTAAAAACAGTACCTATAAAAGTGGTCTATATGATTCTCACCCTATAATACACGTTTTCTGAAGCCATGCATTAGCTTTAAGTCATTATATTCACTATTCATCTTACCCTCTGCTGTAGCTCACGAATCTCTTTCATGCATATGCATATTTATTTGCATGTCACGTTTCACTTGTAAGAAATATCAGAACCTTTGGTGTCTGTCGAGAGTAAATGACACAATTTTCATTTTTGGGTGAATGATTCTTTTAACATTTTGATCACTCTAGACATGCCTGGAGGGGTTATGTGAAAATGGGCAGAGTATGTGCCCAGCAATTTCCATTTCATTTTGGAGTGGCTCACATCATGCCAACCAGCAGAAACTCTCTGGCAAAGTATCAGGCTGGTCTTTTTGAAATATGACACTTTTTCAAACTCTTCTCAAAAAAGTTTTGAGCTGGAAATTAGCCAAAATGTGTTTGTGCGTTTAACTGGTGCTAACATTTACATATGTAGTTGGCTGATAGCAAGGTTATTTTGAACTTTATTATCTTGCTGTATCACTTAGACTCAGTCCACCACTGATTTCAAATGTCCTTTTATAACCCTCTTCATTATCTCTACCCCTCGTCAGTCTCTGGATCTGAGAAAAAGCTAAAGCCGAAGGGAGTACCGCAGGGAACTGGCTTTGGTCCAGAAGGCTGGGTAAAGCACACAAATGGCGCTTTTCCACTGCGTGGTACGACTCGGCTCGGCACGGCTCAGTACGGCACGGTTCGGTTCGGCTCGGCACGGTTTGCGTTTCCACTGCAGTTCAGTACCGCTTTAGAGTGGGCGGGATTATTCACATGTGGTTATAGTTGCGCCGCCTCTACTACCACGACTCCTAAAAAAAAACGTTTTCATTCCGCGTCGCCCCATCAAGCTCTCGCTGGATCCGCTCCTCTGCTATCAACGAGAGGGAACGTCTGTTCTTCCGCAACAGAAAACAAAACTTTTTGGTTGTTCAAAAAGGGTGCGCTCGTTCAAAACAGTTGCGTTCGATCCTTCGCTGGCTGTGCTGATTTAAATCTAGCGGTTCTTTTGTGTTTGTGTCGCAAGTTCAGTGACGCAGGTATTGACGATTCTCTTTGGCCAATCCGTGATCAGCAGAGTTTACACGTCACGTTTTGGTAACGGTACGGTTCACTTGGAACCCCAACCGAGGTGGTACTAAAAAAAGTACCAGGTACTGTACCCAGTGGAAAACCCCCAAAAAGTGAACTGTACCGAGCCGTACCGTGCCGTACCATGCAGTGGAAAAGCGCCAAAAAAGATGCCTGAGTTTAGTCCTATTTACCCCCTTCATCATCTGCACTGGTGTCAGTGATTTTATTACCCTCTGGGTTTACTGCCCAACTCTATTTGAACTTCCTCCAACAGTAATTATATGCACGGCAAACCCAGTTACTGTGTGTGAATATTAACACTTCATATTTAAAAAGAAAGCCCTGCATGGAAGCTGGATATTGCAAGCATTCCTGTAGCCTGCAATTTGTGTTTCACATACGCCTAGGTTTTATATCAGATTTGTTTGCATTTGGTCTATAGGTTGTTGGCACAAACTAGGTTACATCCACTTTCTGTTTTCTGCAAGCAACACACTATTGAATCACACTTTGTGTAGTCCCTGATGCAGCATAGAGAGGTCTTGTCATGTTTGTGCACAAAATGATTTCACCATGTTGGCAGGGCTGTGAAAAGCCCCCCTTCATTGAAAATATATATGATATGATACAGGTGGATTATTTTTTCAGTGTTACAATTAGATTTTAATGCCAGTGTTTTTCGCTTGAAGTTCATGATGGAAGTGGAAGCAGAAGCTTTTTTTTGGAAGAGTAGGCACTGTTTTTCTTGCTGCTTTTCTTCATTGAATTGTTCTGGGAGCTCAGCTTGAATGATCAAATGAGAAGCTTTTTAAGTATGCCTGTGTGACCATGACATATTTCCCTTGTCTGATTTTGACTAATTTACTAATGATTTGGCTAATGCATTTGTTGAATTAATTAGAATAAACTATGAAAGGTAAAATCATGATAGAGTTGGACATTATTATTATTATTATTATTTTTTTTTTTTAATTTCACAAGGTGCACTGATTACAATTTGAATGTAGGTGGCAGATTTTCTGGCTCACTGGATATGTCACTAATAATCTTTCAGTACAATAATTTCATATTGATACCTTTTCATTTTTACAGCTTTGTTTTCTCCTTTTTATTTCAGCACAGCGATCAATGCATTTATATATAATACATGTGTGTATATTATGTACATTTTTATATCTATATATGTATGTGTGCATATACTGTAAATAATTGTAAATGAAATATTTATGTAGTATTTAGATGTTTTATTATATATCCAGCTAGTAAGGTCTGATCTTTCTCCCTCTCTCCAGTTCTTTCTTTGGTCTCTATCAATAAAAAGAGGAAAAGCTCACAATAAGTTCTAAATATTAATATATCCCAGAAGGGCCTTTTAATAGAGTTTTATGGTGATTAAGAAATACAAAGCCTGCAGGATAAATGCATGAATGATTTTCAGATGTCGCACTTAGAACATAGACCATAGATTAATACTTTTTTCTTTAATGGTTTATTATGCTTGACCCACAGGTTGAGGAGAGCCTGGTGAAGGTGCGTAACGCTGGCACTGAGCAGGACCTGGGTATCCAATACAAAGCTTTGAAACCGGAGGTGGACAAACTGAACATGATGGCAGCCAAGAGGCAGCAGGTAAAATGCAGCCACTCCTCGTACCCAATGTTCTCATAATCTGAGGAGATTTCATTCGGGGATGTACTGACTTCGAATAGCATGCATCCTCCACCCACATGTGCAATAAGGAGCTATATAGCACAGGTTGAAGATTTGATGCGTGTAAGCACGAACAATCTTCTTTGTACCGGTCGGGGAGGGGAAAAGCAAGACTGGGCTGGAGCAGCTAGAGTGACAAAATCCATTTAAATGATATGAGAATTGGGTCTTTGGGATTTTTTGGGGCTTATCAGGATAAGCAGTATTCAGTAGTGATGGATTTCAGGATGAATTTTCCAGGTGAGCTCACTGATTAATAGAAAGAACGTTGTTTTGCAATAGAGAGAGATTATTATATCTTGACAATGCTAATTATTTCTCCGCTCGAGTAAAGAGTAGAGCTGTTCATTTTATTTATTCAGTGTGATTTCCCCTCTCATGCTACACTGGGCCCTTTTAAGATGATACTTTTGTGAATCAGTCGGCAGATGCTACAGCCTCACTCCCAAGGTGCAAATTGCTGTGGTATTAACTTTTTTAACTTTTTTTTTTTTTTGTTTACTTCCGTCTCAGGAGTTATGCTTTTTTCCACTGAGAACAGAAGTCATTTTCAGTGAGGGCTAGTCCACACTTGGGAGATCTCAGGTTTGACAGCAAAGATCGATCATGAAAGCACAAAAATTGTCCCTGTTTTTTTTTCCCCCATCTTCAAAACATTTCACATAGATCAGAATCCTGTGTCAACTATACTCAAACTGGACATAAAGTGTATTTTTTGGCTTTAACTTGTGTTCTGACAGACAGCAATTTGTGTCAACGCTGCACACTGACTTTCAGTATGGGGCAGCAACAGCAACACTTCAGAGATTAGAGGGCATTCATGTAGGATGCATTCCCTCTTTCAAACAGCTAGACGGAGTGCGTATGGAGCAGGCCGTTGATTATTAACTTGACGCGTCGTCTTAAAAATGTGGCACTTATGGCTTGAAGGAAAAAAAAACGATTTCCTTCTGACTCATTTTTATGTACACTGGCAATAAAAAAAGTAGACAAATTACCCAATGTGCTCACTTAACAGAAGTGATCATATTTACTTGCGTTCCACATGGCACGTGTTTCTACATGGCATATTTGCCAGGCTGTATGGTCATAATCTGATTATGAGCATGTGTGGGCCCTTGGGGGTTCTCTTTAATGTCCTAATTATGACAGGCCTGTAACATCACCCCTGAATTCTCCCTCTTCATATGACAGGAACTCAAGGACGTCCATCACAAGGACCAAATGGCGGCAGCTCGCGGCGTCCTGCAGAGGAACGTTCCCATGCTGTACACGGCTTTGCGTGCCTGTCTGCAGCACCCAGACGTGGCCGCGTACAAGGCCAACCGGGACCTCATCTACAAGCAGCTGCAGCACGCTGTCTCCGGCATATCTAATGCAGCTCAGGCTGCCAGCAGCGATGACTCCAGCTTCTCCCAGTCTGCAGGTGGAGGAGAGCTGGCCTACGCCCTCAACAACTTTGATGTAAGTCTGTGGGCTATTTGACGTCACGTTTTTGGGCCAGTTTCTCTGATCCAGACAGAAATAGCAAGCTAATAAGCTGTGTCAGTGAAGAATTGTCATTCAGCAACACGACCGAGACTAAACTGAGAATTGGCCTCACTCTAATTTAAGGGAATGTGCTCTGTGAGCATTGTCATTTAGGGAATGGGCGCTTTTTTGGCCAGTTGTATTGGGACCGATGCCATACTGCATGCTGCGTTGAGGAGCTAATCTCAAAAAGGGTAGAACAACAGGAAAGCTTATGCACTTTTCATTGAGGGTGTGAAAAGTCAGTGAATGCTTGGTCCAGCTTTAGGTATGGGATTATAGATCGTGAAATATTCAGAATTCATGGAGAAGGTTATATTGAAGAGTTATGAAATATGCAGCTCCTTGCAGACATTAGGCTTGACTTAACGTATTAAAAATTCTTTAATTGCTGAATCAATATTTCATCTTCATTAGAAAGTCTGCAGAAAGATTTTGGAACTTTTGGTCAATTTCTGCTTTTGGGTTTGTGAAAAGCGCAAAGTTGTTTTGCAGCCAGTGATAAAGATGAGCATATTGTGTGTAGGATCTAACAGCAGTTGCATCACCCTCTGCAACTGCTCCACACAATTTTATCAACAAAGAGCTTGAGAGCAGCGAGTTGTTGACAAATCCAGTGTGTGATTGAACTGTGTCGAGGAGACGGTAATCCAGGATTGGATCAGATTAAATTTGTATGTCCAAACAAAGCTGAGCTACTGACCTCAGAGTCTTTCACAAGTTTGAACTTTTGTTGCAGGGTTGAGTCAGGTCAACACCAAAAACTTATGGGAAATAACATGACAATTTGACTTTCTAAGCAGTACATTTATATCCTTATGTGACATGTTTTAAATAGTTCAGATCAGAGTCTCTAAATTTAATTTGAGGTTAAGGGTAGCAAGTGATCATTAGCTATCCTTCATTTATTTGCACTTTGAACAGTTAGTCTCCTTCCGGAATAGGATGCGGACCATTAGTCTAACCGTTTTTGGTCTGTTGCACTCTCAACATTTTAAACAATCAGTTAGTGAAATAATAAATTCAAATGATATGCACGAACTGAAATGTTGCCATAGAGATCTTATAAAAGGAAAAAAGTAGGTTATAATGGTTCCTGGCTGTGTTTTTGAGCATAAGGTGCCTGCACATATTACTTTTGAATTTGTTGGTCTAGCAAATGCAACCTGTACTTTTAAGTAATAGATATTGTTGAATAGTTTGTTCCTGATGGACAGGGTGGGAAATGAACCTTTTATTTCCATTAGCCACAGTGACCGCTAAATGCAGAATTTTACCAGCATTTTTTTTTTCAGCTCAGTATGCCTGTGAAATTGAACAAAGCATTAAATCTTGACAAGCTGTAAGGTTTTTTGTTTTCTTTTGCATTGGTTAGGATATTTTCTAAAGATGTTTTGGTATGTTTCTTTTTAATATATTGAAAAGAAATGTAAAAAAAATTAGTGAATTTTTTTCAATAAACATATAAAAATAAATATAATTTTTGTACACTTATTTTCTCCTAAGCTAACAATTTAGTTGCCTTGTCAAAAAAAAAAAATACTGCTGGAAGCGGGTGTTTAATTTCCACCCTCTCTGCTGATCCCAAGTACAATTTGTTTGAATCTGTAGTTTTTGACTGAAGCAGGTGCCTCTAATGAAGCTTGAAGACGCTAGAGGAGTGTTTACAGACTGTTGCTCTTGATGTGCAGAATATACTGTTTTTATTTGCTGCTTTGAAATGAATGCTTTCTGTCATGAAATAATGATGAGAGAAGGCTTTAAGAGATTAGCACAGCACTTCATTTAATCTCTAACATCCCTAATTAGAGGGCGTCTATTAGTCCAGCTCATATCAACAATTCTGTTATGATGTATCATATATGTTTGCCTGGGCAATATGAGTAAAGTCAATTAGGTGAATCTCCTCAGCATCCTCCTGTTAAATTTGCAACAAATCAGTCACCACAGGTACTTGTCTCCGTCTCTTGTGGTGAGAGGGTTTGCTCATAAGATTTCCTCTGCCTCGATTAGCTGTTGAAAAATTTTGCACACAGTGGTGTCAGAAGTGGCGTCGCTCTGCAAAAGAGAGCACTCGCACATCAAATCAAACCATGTCACTCTGTTCTTTCACCGTTTGATTTTCTTTTTTTGTCTTCTGCAAAAGTGTGCACTCATCCTTAGTTCTGGGGCCTTTAATTATAATGGGTATATAATAGGTAATGGGTTTTTGTCTTGTTTTGTGAGTTTTTGTGCTCCTTTTGTTTCTCCAAACTGTCCCTGGGTTTGTTGGCTCTGAGCTCAGGGACTTTAGAAAGCTCTGATCTTCAAAATCTGCTGTCTCTGGGGCTCACATGCTCAGTTACCTACAAGGCATTTATATATATATATATATATATATTTATTTATTTATCTTCTCTTTTTGCTTCCTCAGCTCTCATAGGATGAAATCACCATTTTTTTTTTCATCTTCCCACTTGACTGCGAATACATCTGGAAGTTGATAGATTAATGTAGAATTCATTAGTCATCTAGAGAGCTGTAGGTGTAGTAGCATGAGTCAGTTTCTCTGTTCTCACTTTCTCTCCCTTCCACCCATCTCTCATTCCCTTTTTCCCTTTTAAACGCTGCAATTATCCCTCATCATTCTACAACAATTAACTGACATCGTCTTTTTTAATTAATTTTTTTCTGCTTCTGACTGGAGCCCAAAATGCATTGTTTGTCACGTTTGTCGATGAACTTATCAACTGTATCGGTCCTCTTTGTTTTACACCCAGGGCTGGATTCCACAGCATCAGGCCTTTGTCATTTGCTGTTCTCTTGTCCTTTTCAGCTCAAAACCATTAGGAAGTGATAATTTAATCATGTGAAGCCAGGCGGCCGGATGCACTGTGAGACGAAATTTAATGCTGGCAACAAAATTAAGTTTATAGATTTTTTTTTTGCGTATGGTTCATCAGATTGGGTATCTGTGAGAGGCAATTAATCTGAGCTGTTTTAAATGAATTAAGAGTTTTCAAAACGATGCATTTGTGGTGACCCAAGGCTAACAGTGTAACATGGTTAATTGTAAGTGAAGCAAATGTCCTGATTTTTTTTCCTTCTTAGCCAATCAATACTCTGCACAAAGCACGTCGAGATAACTAGCAGCCTGCAGCTCTATCCGTACCTGTGGCTGCTAGAATTATCGGAACCCTCAGACCTCCATTATATTGATTGTGCTGCACTATGTGATTGGCCCAGTTTTTACACTTGACCTTGCTTGCTGCTTTTCTAGGGAATTTTAAAATGCTGTATAGAGCTCATCTTGTCAGATCGGTCTATAGAAAGCTGAATTATTACTACCGTACTACCTTCTTTCTTTAATGATTTCCAGTGATGATAAGACCCATCATAGTCTTAGTTTTGTATAATTGAATGTCAGCTAACTCTGTTGTCATTTGCTTTTAATAACTAGATGACTTTTTTTGGGTCTCCAGTTATTGCTGATGTGGGTGTCTTTTGCAGCTTTAATTGAGAGAATTAATTGCAGAATTAATTTCATTAGATAATTTTCAAAGATAAGTGAAATCATAAAATGCTGAATCCATACAAAAACGGAAAACAATTTTGAATTACATAATTAGCTCACTCTGTGGAGTTTATTACGTAAAGTTTTCCCTCCAACAACTCTCTGCTAAACTCTTTAAAGGCACGTCTCTAAACTCCTCTGTTCTGTTCTTTGTGAAAGGCTGCTAAGTCAATTGCCCTTGTGGCTAACAGAATGAAAACATCAGCAAGCATCTTGAAGCATCTCCAAGACTTGTTTCCCATAATTGTTGTAAAACCAGCTTCGCTTCCCTTAATCTTGGCTGTTGGGATCTGTATTGCTTTGAATGCAACACAAAGGGCCCTGAGTAGTGCTGGGCGGTATACCGGTTCATACCGAATACTGGTGTTTATTTTTGTTATGATATGTACTGTAGTGAGGGAACCGCTGTATGTGTTACTAAGCGTGAAAGTTCCGAAACTGAAGCTGTAGAACTAATAGAACGTGATGACAGAAGAACTCATCCACAATATCCACACTGACCGCCACAAATATCCACCGCCCCCTGCCATCAGCTCATGCATCTCACACACACACAAGCGCGACTTTAGCACTAGATTTAGCAACTTTCAGACCCTTTTAGCGGCTTTTTTCCATAGAATATTCATACTGACAAACCTAGCGACTTTTTTTGGATAAACCTTAGCTATGGTTCAGTTGGAAGATTTCGCCAGTGCTGTCCCTCAAACGTGAGGTCTGACTTTCCCGGAGAAGTGGCACCTCTCTCGGTGTCTGTTCTGTGCAGTGAGCGGCAGAGAAGCAGCACATTCAGTTGGCCACACCGCAGCCGACTCAAAACAGCGTTTCCGTACTAAACAGCGTTTCCTAGCACCTGTCGCTTACTGATTGTTTGGAATTATAAATATGAGCGTAGTTCGCCATGTTGATTTTATCAGACGATGCCATGATTATAAATGAGTGACTCCTGGTTAACATGTATTAAAACGGGTCGTGTTTAGTCACTATTTAGTGTGGTATTTTTTGACAATATTCACTCATCATGACAGTAAAATAGTGCATTCTAAGTCAATATGCTGCAGTATTTCCCCTCTCAATCAGTAGAAAATATGGTTAACACCCAGTCATGCATGAAAAAAAAAATACCGTCATGTACCCAGCACTAGCCCTGAGCAACAAAAAGCCCTGGTTAAAACTAAAGCAATCATCAGAAGATATTGGCATGGCTGTGCGATATTGAAGAAAACAGCGATATGCAATACCTTAAAAAATGCGATATTCGATATGTGATACGATATTGCTTAAAGTGTGTAAAATCAATTTCAATTATATTTAAAAATATTTAAAAATGAAAATTATATAACCAATTTGTTTCACATTCTTTCTTGGAAAAGAAAGAATCACTACAACTTCTGAAAGTGACCAGCAGTGTTTTAGCATTACATAAAAAGTAATGTCACACATCAGAAAATGTCATTTTAACACCAGTGTGAACATACAAAAAAAAAAATTGACACTAATTTTATATCATTGTAACTTTGCTTTCCATACACTAAGTACTTCTTCATATACCACAGCAAAAACTATAGTCTGAGAAAGTTCAAACATGATTAAAGGCAAGTGAACAGTCAGCAAAAAAAAAAAGAAATACACAATTTACAAGCATAGATAATATAAACAGTAGTATTCAGGTACAGAAATGTAATAGTTAAGTGTAAAATAACACTGCATAGTGTTCACTGTGTGAATTAAATTTAGATGAATCTTTGTTGTAGCCGTTTTGTTAACGTTAGTGTCATATATTCAGCAGCATGTATTTATAGGCTGCTCTCCCTTTAAAACCGACTGCACGGATCCAGTATAATGATACACATCCGATTTCTTTCTCAGCTGTTTACATTCATTTAAAACATAACCGACTGCGTTTACGAGAATGATCATCGAGACGGGTACTATTGACATAATTCTGTGTGTATGTGTCTGTTCAAACATGAGGAGATGCGAAAGACGAATCAACTCTGTGTTCGCACGCCATCTGAAACACGTCTCTCTCTCTGTGTGTGCGCACGCTTTGCACGTGTGCGGCAGAACTGAAGAGACGCCGCGCAAGATGCAGCTTGTGCGTGCGCTTCAGGTGTGAGTCAGACAGCAAGACGAGACGGCAAAGAGTTGTTTTCTGCAACTTATTGCACTTAACTCTTTTTAACGTCAAGCAATTCTCTGCTATATGCGTCGACCTTTTGCAACATTTTGATTTAAGTAGCCTATTATTAAAATGATTCAGATATCGCACGCCCTTGCGATATGCATATTGCGATATTTGCATTTGCGATATTTCGATAATTTCGATATATCGTGCAGCCCTAGCATCCATGTATAGTTTGGGTGACGCTATGGGCTAAGTCACGGTAGCTTACAAAGGTTACAAAGTCAGTGCATCAAAACCTTGCACTTTATATTTGTATGTTAAAAACTGCTCAAGCTGGAAATGTAGCTGCTCTGTTCTTAGTAGTAGGCCAGACATCCTCACAAAGAAGAGGCGGTCCTCTGCCCAAACAGATGGCATCTGTTTAACTAAAAGAAAAAAAAGTGGGCGTGAGTGTGCGCTCAAATGAGATGGGGAATGTCAGATCATGTGCGTCTTTAATTTCCTGGTGACCATGCAGAAACTTCAGCACACATGCACATTGCTTAATTTGAAGCTGGAGCAACGTTGCAGTGAGTCAGAGAGAGAGGCTTGTTGCCATGCCAACGTGACACGCAAGTAAAGGAGGTCAGATGAGATGAGGCTAATAAACTCTGATTCTAAACTGAATTGTTGAATATTTTACCACGTATATGACATCAGATTGAGCGGCTTGTCACGTTGTTTTGAAGATTGACTCCGCCTGCCACTGTTCCGCCTTTTTTCTTTTCTTTCTAGGCAGCTATCGCTTTTCTGGCACATTTGTGTCTCCTGTCTCTTTAATTGCACCACACATTGACAAGTTTATTCTTTGAGAGCGGGAGTGTGATGTCCCCAAGTGAGTGTACCAAGCAGAGGACATGTAGGGACATCTCAAATGTCATCCTGGCTCAAGGAGGAAAAATAGCAGTTTTATATGCGCAACTGCATTTTGTAACCCTAGGCCGAAATCCAATTGCTCCGCCGTTTAGGGTTAGTAGCCTTAAAGATGCGCTCATACTAACTGCAGTGTTTACCAAAGCAGTTCTCTCTGTTGAAAACCCCACACGAGATGTGCAAGAGTCTGTGATCTTACATAATTTGCAGTTAAGCTTGATTTTGTCCCGCTTGTTTTATTTTTTCCCCCCGTTCGTCCCCAGAAGACAGTACAAATGGCTTTTAAGATGCCGTCTGTTACATAGAATTGATTTAAAAGGCAGCCGAAGTGCACAGGCAAGCTAATGCAGCCTCAGATTGAGCAAAAGCCGTTGGCCTGAAATTGCATCAGGAGCACCAGACCATCATCTCAGATCTTGTGAATTATTGATTCGTCCAGTTAATGAATATCACAGCTTCTGCCTCGGCGTCCAGGGAGATAGATTCCAAAATCCTGTTCAGGCCACACCGCCAATAATGATTGCCGTTTAACTGTCAAACTCTAGTGAAGTTGGACATTTGGTATGTGAAATCATAAATCTCACTTCTCTACCCAACACACACCCCCCGTTTTGCACAGAAACGCTGAATGGCAATATTTTAGTGCATTAATTCAGAGAAACTGCTTAATCTTCCTGTCGTGCTCCTTCTACTTTTAATCCTCTTATGCTTTATTCTCTCTCTTTTTCTCCCCCTGCAGAAGCAGATCATCGTGGACCCGCTGAGTTTCAGCGAGGAGAGGTTCCGGCCTTCTCTCGAGGAGCGTTTGGAGAGCATCATAAGTGGCGCCGCCCTCATGGCTGATTCCTCCTGCACACGTGATGACCGGCGTGAACGCATCGTGGCCGAATGCAACTCCGTGCGACAGGCGCTGCAGGATCTGCTCTCAGAGTACATGGGCAATGTAGGTGCACGTCAAATACTGTTTTTCCTTCTCGCTTACTGCTTTTCCCCTTCCACAGTCCCACATCCCTGAATGGCGATGCTGAGTACCAACCTGCTACCTGAGACAGATGCTCTCCTGCAGGGAAGGAGAGGGGAGTTTTATTTCAGGGACAGTGCACACATCACGTTCGCCGGGTAGTGTTGTATAAAGACCTCCAGTCTCAGCACAATTTGTCTTGTGCTGCCTAGCTTTTCAAGAGAGGGATTCAGTACACACAAGCCCCCTCCTGTGATACTGATCTGTGTGTTGAATTGTTTGACTGCTGTTGTTTTCAAATAATTCCCTTTGTTTGCTCACCAGTATTGGTTTTATTTTATTTTTTTTCGGTCTTTCATTTAATTTGTTTTCCTTTTGCTTCTCCATTTATTATCTTGTAGTCACAGATTTTTCTTTTTCTTTTTTTCTTTTTTTCTTTTTTTTTTTTTTACAAAAAGTTCTGAGTAGTTTAAAGAAATGTTGGTTGAAAGCAACCGTTTTACACCCCGTGGCATGCAGCACGGTGGTAATTTAACCAGTTTAAAACCCTACCTCATTTCCGCAGGCTAATTAATTTTTTTGATTTCTAAAACACACTGAATGTCATATCATCACTCTTTTTCTCCCTCATTACATTTCC